AGGGAAGAAAAGTCGGTTGGTGGGATTCGGAAGTTCCAGCAATTCAAGTGACTGTGAAATGTGTTACCAATGCCTCATCACACGCTATCGGGTTAGGTACTTTTGTGCTGGATAAGGGTCGAAAGCACGAAGACCAAAACAGCACCATGATATGGAGTCTTTTACTGTCGTGCTTAGTCCAATAAGGGTAGGTAGAATTTCCGGTAGGAACCAGTAGTCATGCCCGACTTCACTACTACCTAAGCCCTACTGGCTCTCTTTTGACGACTTTCCGCAACTTTTGACCGTTTTCATCTTTATTTCTACATCTTTCATCTCAGCGTATTCTCGCTTCTTTTGTTGACACGACATGCCGCTGATCAGAAGGCAGTCACTAATGGACCCATATTGACACTGTCCCTCTGACTGTGTGATGTCTATGAAACAACTCGTATCTCTGCAGTTGTAGCAAAAAATACTTCAAAATGGTTTATTCAGAGGCAGTTGAAGTGTACATATGTGATAGTTATTTGTTCCTTGAAATCCCAGTTAAACATAGGGCTTCAGTAGCACGTCTCCATTCAACTCTCTCCTCTGCAATCTTTTGAACATGGCTCCACCACTGCCCACAAGCTCTCATTTCCTCCACACACGATCTCCTCCATGTCACACACAACTGGGACGTCCAACTCGCCGTTTCCCATCTGGGTCCCACTCGAGGGTGTGGCCTGAAGCGTGATGTGTCCCCAGTCGACCTTCTCAGTGCATGCAAAATCCAATCCATCTCCACTTCCTTCCAATGCACACTTGTTGAACGACAGGTTCTTGGTTGGTTCGTTGCCAGCCAGCCACCCAGAGGTCCTTGTTTCCTAATCCAATTATTCTGGCCATCTGAGCCTCAGTGACGAGCCAGCGTAGGCAACAGTTGTGGACAAATATCTGTAGTCTGCTGCAGACGCATTTCATAACGCACCAAGTCCCTCAGCAATCACGTTGGAGCACTGACTTGCCTGATGTTAGTGTTGAAAATTCGAATCTTGTTCACGCTTGATGGTGAGTGCGGAAGATGTACCTCCACGCTGGTTTCAGGTTAATGAACGCCTGTCTTGCTGTCTTTCCGATCCTGGCTGGCTTTGACACCCTCGTCTGTGCGTGTGCCGCTCCCTGTAGTTGAAACGATGCTGGCTAGCCAAAGTAGGTGAAAGAGGCTACTGGCTTTACGCTTCTCCCGTTGATGGTGATTGGAGCTTGTTGTTATCGTTGGTGGTGGTGGTAGTGGTGGCGTTGGTCGAGTATCTTCATCATGCCTGTCCTCTCTAACTTCATTTGAAGTCCCATCCTAGCCAACCTGCCTCTTCTGTCAACTTGTTAGTTTTTGCTTGTAGATCTTCAAGTTTGTGTGACATTAGACATAAGCAATCAGCGAAACCCAAATCTCTCAGAATCTTTTCCCCGGCCCGCGGTCCAGGGTATCTCCCCCTTCTAGTTCCTCACTGTTTGTTGCATGTCCCAGTCCACCACAATCAGGGAGATCACCAGTGATGGTGGACACCCTTGTCTTACTTTTGTCTCCTTTTCAAAGCCATCGCTGAGCTTCCCATTGTGAATTAATTGGCACGTAGCGTCTGCATAGAGTTGCTGAATGAGATAGATAAAGGCTTGTGATATTCCATATTGTTGGAGCAGTTGCCAAATTACTCATCGGTGGACGCCATCGAAGGCCTTTTCAAAGTCGACGAAGTTGAGGTAGAGAGCTGACTGCTATTGTATGCTCTGTCATAAGATGATGCATAGCGTAGCGTTGCCATTTGGTTCGCACATGAATTATACTTCCTGAATCCGGCCACTCAGCCTGTTCCGACAGTAACTTTGAATCCAGGTCACCATTTAGTCCCTCCAGGATAATGCGGCATGATATTTTGCTTGGAGAGGACAGGGGCATGATTCTGCACCAGTTCTTGCAAAGACTTATGTCTCAGTTCTTTGGAAGTTCGACTGGGTGGCCCTTCTTCCGATCATTCTGCGGGTAACTTCCCTTCCTTCCGGACCTTCTTCAGCAGTGGTGTGAACATGTCCGATGTCGTCCCTGCGTATGTTCTCAGCGCTTCTGGAGGAATTCAGTCTGGTGCTGCTGCTGTCCCAAACTTCAGTAGCCCTATGGCATTCAGGATTTGACTTTCATCAGATGGCTTGCGTTCACTGATAGTTCTGTGGCTGTAGGTGGAATTTGTGGACGAAATGCAGGTAATAGTCTTTTCAAGAGCTTTACTAGGTAGCCAGCCCATCGTTTCGTTTGTTCCTCTTCTCTGATAATTGTATTTCCTTCATCATTATTTATTGGATTCATTTGTATTGGTCACTTCCCAGATAGCCATCTGGTTATTTGATACAACGTCATGAGGGGTCTCCTATTAGCGGCACGTCATGCATCACTCGCACCGTTGGAGTGTCTTTTGTATTTGCGCACACTCTTCTTCACTTCTTTGTCCAGTGTAGTGTTTTATAGGTTGTACTCAGTTCCTCATTTCCATGTTCATCCCTGCACTGCACCGCACTTCACTGGTTCATCTTCTGCTTCACCGTCCTCCTCTCCTCTATCAGTTTCCATCTGTCCGTCGAGATAACTCCATTCCTTGTCTCGCTTCTTCTTCCTTCCTAACACGGTTAAGCAGGTTTCTTTTCACTTCACTTTCACACAGTTCCAATGTTCTTCCACGCAGGTTTTCTCAGGAATGTTGCCTAATGTCTTGCATTTTTTCCTGATAGCTGACATGAAGATGTCCTTTGTAGCTTCGTCCTTCAGTTTCTACTCCGGGTGTTCAACTTCAACTCGATTTTGAAGGTTCCTTGCACTGGATAGTGAGTGATGTGAACCACCTGCATCTGCTTCCATTCTTGACCTGATCTTGTGTCCAGTAGACTACGTCTCCACTTTCTTCACATTGAGATGAGGTCGATCTGGCTTTTAGTGTGTCCATCTGGTGAAATTAGATCCATGTTGCTGCCTCGTGAATATCCTTGTGTTTGTAAAAGGAGCCTCCAATCACCAAATCGTGAAATGCTCGGAAGTCTGCAAATAGTTCTCCATTCTCGTTCGTTTCACCAAAATCCTCGCGATCCACGATCAGTTCTCTTCCTGTGTTGTGTGCTCCCAGTTTGGCATTCATGTCACCCATCAGAATGAATTTCGATGTCACCAACTGGAGTCTTGTCCGTTACTGATTGCAGTTGTCTGTAGAATTTCTCCCCCAGTTTGATCTGCATTATTTGTAGGTGTGTAGCGTGGCATTGTATGATTGTGAATTTCCTTCCATTTGAGTTGGATCTTGCTATCATGATCCTGATCCTGTTTGAGGAGATTGGTTCACACTGCATGAGAGGGAGCCTTCGATGCTCTTCAAGGGGACATCATGATAGCCACTCGGAAACTCAGTGTTCCATGCTCGTGGTTGTCGTGTGGGTGACAATATCGGAGTGGATTATTGGCTCTCCAGTTGACAGTTTGGAGAGTCCACTTCCATCCGATCTGCATATCCCTCTCAGATTCCTAGCATGTCTATTCTATACTATACCTCGTCATTTCTTTTGCGATCTGGACAGCCTTTCCAGCCAGCTTCAAACATTGTGCCGACATTCCGTGTCCCCACGTTTACTTTCGCTTTCATTGAGAGAAGAGGAGATACATCGGCCGACTGGCTTCCCTAAGGCTTTCACCAACCGCTGTCACTTCGTCTCCTCGATTCCAGTGAGGAATAAGTTTATTTCTATGCTTTATATTTCGTCTGTGCTTTGAAGTCTGTCTAGCGATTGGATTGGTCTTACGCCCAACCTTCTCTCTTTACCCGGGCTTAGGGCCGGCTAGTAACTAGTGAACTAGTTAACAAGGCGAGGTTGCTAAAGGGCTTATTTTCTGGTTTTGTTATGAGTATCAGTCGGCAAATGAGAGTTGGCTGTGCGAATTCCGTGGGTTATTTCAACGTACACAAAGCCGTCCCGGTTTTCAGAAATGTCACAGATAAAGTTAAACGTGAAACCTTCTTAACTACGCACTCGTTTCAGCTAATAATAGCGTGCACTTCTTCTAATTAAGGTGTCTGTGGGAACTGTCACCAGAAACATGAATGACATTCATTGCGCACGTTGTTGTTTTTTTCAGTTCCCTACAAAAGGCATTGTGTTCAGGGGCGAACCACAGTGCGAGAATTTCACTCATTTAGTTAGAAAGGGGAATCTATACAAACGAGAAAGAATAAATCAAGGCCTTGTAACCATGTCGTGACTCTTGTTGTAGAGGCAGATATTCCCATTTTGAAGACTGTCACATGTATGATGTCGGAATTTTAGCCATCATATATGGGTGCATTTGGTATGACTTCTCAACTGTTCCTCTTCATCGCTCTCATTTCACGAGGATCACGAAGCTTTGCTATCAATGTCAGCTTCATTAAGAAGTAAACACCTAGTTACGCAACTATACTACACATAACACCTGTGTTGGAGAGCAAACCTAGAAGTACTCAATCACCATATTACTTACCAAGCGTATGGACGGTTAGTGTGATTCCGTAGTGCATGTTTAGATTGATGGGCACCCAAGATTTACTCTCAATAGAACAATACATGACCACTGAAAGGGGTGGACGGAATGCAGGAGAAATGCGTAAAATTCATCATTAATGACGTTCTTCACGTTTGGAAAATTCTACCAATACAAGTATACTTTAAGCTTTCAAAAATAACCATATACAGATCATTTGGCCAAAAATAGTTCAGAAAAAAATATGCGTCATTCTGAAAACTTTCCAAATTAAGACATTATCGGAGTTACAGTTCTCTCAACTTTGTTTAAATTTACTAATTTAAGCAACTCTTTTGGAACGCGCAATTTCACTTTAGCGTCATATTCGATGGGTAATGCACAAGCTGCCAAAAAGGGTGATCCAGCTGACGGTAAGCAGAAATTTTCATTTGAATTAATCGTTATTTTTTCGGAAAACTAACTTTTGGTTTTATTCTTATAGTAAAGGCTTTCTTGGAAGAAGCCAAGAAGGAGTTTCTTGAAAAATGGGAGAAACCTTCTCAAGTATGTTAAAATTTATTAATAATTGTTTCCAGAACACGGCTACTTTGGACTCTTTTGATCGCATCAAAACATTAGGTACTGGCTCTTTTGGACGCGTGATGCTCGTCCAGCACAAAGTCAGTAAGGAATACTATGCCATGAAAATATTGGACAAACAAAAGGTTATTAAAATCTAACGACTTCTTACATTTGATTCAGGTGGTCAAATTGAAACAAGTGGAGCATACTCTGAATGAAAAACGCATTCTACAAGCAATTTCTTTCCCATTCCTCGTACGTCTGGATTATCATTTCAAAGTAAGTATTATCTGGCTTTTATTGGGATAAAACTGTACCTTTTTTCCGTATTTAATTTGTGATATGTTGAACACATACTGTCAGGCTACATAACATTGTGGATTTTGCTTACCTTTGCTCCTACTTGAAAAGGTTAATAGACTTTGATTCAGTGCTGCTCCTAGGAGTTATTGACTCTCTGAAGATCCACTTTTTCGTGGAATGTGACCACCAAAGAAGCTACTACCACTTGTTTCAGTAATTAGTTCCGTTTTTTGACCACTCTATGAAACACAAACGTTACTCACATATAATTTTACAGCCGCTTTTGGATCTTATCTTAGTGGATCCCAATCTAATTGGTCCTAGATAGGAGGAAGAAATGAAATAAATCAGCACCTGAGTCATTGTTCAACATACGAAAAGTTAGAGTTAGATTACTTCTTTTCATACGATAAGAGATGGAGAAGAGGTTCCGCTTAACTAATCTCTTCATAAGGACGTTGAGCAAGACTTGTAACTGGTTTATTGGCAACCCTCGTGATCCATTCTGAAGAATCAACTCATTTTTTGAGGTAAGAATGAGCCACAAAGATACGATACTCTGAATGAGTGGGGTATATAATTCCGAAAATAGCATTTGAATGCTCTACAAAGAGACCAGAAACATTAAAATTTGAAATGGTCTTCAAGTCCTGACTTATGACAACCTATAAGTCTTCTTGTTCCGAAACCCGAGGTATTAGTTGGCCATTTATTGAGTATTCACCAATATGGTCATCCCAGAAGACCATTACCTTAATTTATTTCGAACAGATTTTCATTCTGTCCTTTAGACCGTTCACTCTGTTTAACAATGTCAGTCTGGAGTGGATACCTTTTGGTCATCACTGTGCATGACATTCCACGTCTTGACTTCAGCGGTAAACTGCAGGGATTATGAATTAAGAATCTTCGGTACTTCATTAAAACAAAGAAGGAACAGTGATGGTTTAGAGATAGCGTTTGGATGAGTACGGTTGGTGGCAGGTTGCTACCCATAATGCACCCCACTCACCCTTACTCTTTGCGTTGTCTCCTGTAAGTATTCTCCAGTATAAGTTTGAACCTCACTGTCAATATCGAATTTGTAAAGCTTCCTTACCAATCCAATATGACACCATTAAAAGCCCTACTTAAGTCAATAAACATCACTTTCACAGGAATAAGTTTATCAAACAAGGGAGCTCAACCGAGAAGCCCTATTGCTCCTATGTCAGTAAATCATGTGTTTCTCAGTGCCTTAATATCTCATCACTTATTATCTTTTCCATTATCTTGACCACAATACAAGTATGACTGGTTGTTAATTACCTCCCTTACACATGTTACTTACTATGATATTCCTCCAGTCACACAGGTTCTAAGTTTAACATAAAGACATGCTAAATAACGCAGTTGAGGGTGGATCACCAACATCGGCTAACAGCAGCAGACTCCTAGGGTGTAGTCCGTCTGAACACGAAAAATTTCCAGGCTTTACGTTTCTTAGTAGTGAATGAACTATCTTCTCGATTTCAGTGGGTTTCATCAGATGAAAGTCAGAGACAGAACCGGGATCCAGCATCTCACCAGAGTTGTCACTATATAAAGCTAAGCTAAAACTATTAGGTAAGCCATCTGCTATAGCCGGGATCTCTTCCACTACATTTTTTGCTTCACTGTGTGGAATCAAATCAGGGGTTCCATCTTTCTCTTGAGCCTTCCTCTTAATATAAGAGAACATATGTTTGGAATGCTCCAAAGATTCACCCACTAACGTACTTTGTTATGCTTTGAGACGAACGTTTGTGATAAACTGACACTTATTTCCGACCTTAAAGTATTCCAACCTAAGTGCTTTACTATATAGCACTGTGAATAAATCCAGTCGTTGTTCCCTTCATTTCAATAACTTCTGAGATCGCTTATCAACCCTGGGTGGTCTATTAGAAAGTCTTCGAGGAGTAGACCAGGGGACAAACAATAATATTACACCATCTTATTTACTCTTAAACCCTTCCGAAACCTTCTCTACCAGCTCAATTAAGTCAAGAGACTAGGTGATCAAAAGAGTTCTATGCACAATTAGTGGCCTGTCTGCTTGCTATGAATTTGGGTAAGAATGAATCATGCCATAAATTGATTCTTATATTCTAGGCTTAGACATAATTACAATGTGGTTAATAGTAGTCAACGGGAGTAAACATTTTAAGTCCACCATGTCCTTACTTTTATGTATGAAGTCCAGGTCAAGAATGATGACTCATGGGTTGACTCATGACGTGCAGGATATTTTAAATTCCGAATGAGTGGCCATCGTAGAGTAGTCGACAGCATGTTGTCAAAACGTAGCATTAAGTCATCAGTAAGGTAAGTTAGACTTCGGTAGGTTCATATAACTATCAGGACACTTTGTTTAGACATGATTTTGCAACTGGATGCCTCACATGTGTAACTGTAGTACACCTCAGCAGTAGTCGAGAGGATCAGCAGGTTCTCACGAATTTACAGCATTACACTGCCATTGTCACTAGATGTGACTCTGTCCGTCCGAATACGTTAACATGTATACATACTTTGGTTGTTGAGACCTCACTACCCGAAAACCCGAAATTTTCAAACATTTTCTCTTTTATCTTGCTTGGTTTTCAGTTTAACCAACGCCTTCCTTCTTCTTATCCTATCCTGAAGCATCCAATTAGAACTTATATGTATTCTTATCTTTTATCTTGTTTGCATTTCCGAGGATCCCATCACCTTTTCATGGATTCTCAGCACAACTTCTACAAGATATCTTGTATGGAGAGTCTTTTATTTGTCCCATTTTCCTGATATCATAACTGGCCTCACGTGCATTCTTTAAGAAGATTCCGGAAGAAGGAGTCAGAACACTGTTCCAACTAGGTTTAAGTTGTGAACATGCCTTTCAAAGTCTACCTACTCCTCTACATTCCAAAGGGTTGCATTACATTCTTTAGCTTCAGATACAGTGCCTACGGTTTTCGATACATTTCTAACCTCCTTGCTTATGTTTCCCACTGACGATTGGTTGTTCGTTGGTCTTCCACTCTTCTTAGAGACTTCAGTCCATTTTCTCTAGTTTGTCTGTTACAGCAAGTTTGCAAGAATCTTTCCATAGTGTGACTAGATTTTCGGTAGGCTTATGACATTTCCTGCATTTATAGGTCTTTGTCAAGCCGTCAAGACAGGTGTTCGCAAATCTAAGTCGACTCTAATAACCCCAATTCCCTCTTCTAAAATGATATCATCAATAGTTTTGTGCTGGCGAGCTGTTTTACTGTGAAACTACTTTTACCATCTTGACTCCTAATTCATCAATATGCCAGGGTGGGCAACATAGCGAGAGTTCTTAGTCATAACTTTACCTACAGCCTTTTAGATCAGTACTGTTAACGGGTTGCAAGAAACGTTACATACTCAGAGATGAGCAGGTGTGCGGAATCGTTTGTGATATACCGGTGTTAATTTGGTACACACTTGGTAGGACAATTTACTGTAGCCTTCGTACTGTATTCTATAACGGGAAAATTTCAGCCAGCTCATCCTCAAGAGGGTTTTTAACAACCTAAACAGAACTCACAGTTTATGTAAAAAACGTTTGTAAAACGCAAACCAAAACAATTTCACCTCAAACTAATATAGTGCAGAAAAGGGAAAGACGAAAACAGTAAAATGGACTCTCGTAAAACAGGGAAAGCATTTATGAAGCCAGTTTTTCCCTGAAATGTTTTCAGTTAAAGTTCGCCGGGATAAGTTTTGATCCGTTGAACACAATAAATGCTAAGTCAATAGAGAATGTTAGGAATGCAACTGTAATTTTCAAATTGCGTCAAACTCTAGAACCTGAAAGGTTTGAGATGATTGTTTTTGATTATTTTTTGCTGTCAGTCGAGATTAAATTCATTATTTATCATTGTTTAATAGCGTATCTTCAGGACTAAGTTTATTAGGCTGATGAAGTAGTTAGTTAGCCTTTAACTCATCATTATCCTCAGCTGTAGCTTGGATAAGAGGAAATTTTATTCTTTCTGAGTCATAAAAAGGTGGGTATGCATTTTCCTTCTGGGTGCTCACAATCCTAATGGGTATGCAGGTGTGTCATTGAGTTAGCAATGCAGATATTCTTTCAGCATTACAGCTTTGCACTGGGGTACTTCTTTTGATGTTCTAAGCTTTTTTTAAACTCACTCTTCAATTAGTTTCTTAAGTGTTTATCTGTTTGAAAGTCATCCATATGAACGGAGTTGTCAGAGTTGTGTTTCACACTATAATTTTCACTGGTTTTACATTAAAGTCACATTCTTCATCACTTTTGTGTACGCTATGGACGGTCCATTTGGTCACTTAACTCTCACTCATTGGCTTATTAGTTCTAATCCTACTTCACTTACCGATATCCTAGTGATCGTTGGGTCTCAAGACATATTACAGCTTATAAGTCAATGCATGGATCTGCAGTTGGTTGAACTTATTTATTACTTATATCGGGTCATTTAGAGATTTAACCTATGTAGAGGTAGTATTCATCATGGACTGAAATCATTTAGGGAACCACTGAAAATCTGGGAGCACTGGACAGCTGTTTCGTCCTAGTATGGGACTCCTCAGTAGTACACACCCACGACCTGGCTAGGGATAGAACTCAGGACCTTTAGATTTCACGGCGAATGTGTTAACCATTCAGCCACTGGGCCGGTTTTTAGTGTTTCCCAGTGAAACCTGAAGGTCCTGAATTCTATCCTTAGCCGGGTCATGGGTGTATACTGCCGAAGAGAACCATACTAGGACGGAACAGCTATCCGGTACTCCCAGATTTTCAGTGGTTCCCAAACTGATGTCGGTCCGCTATGAATACTACCTCTAAATTAAGAATCCCTATTCAGCTCAAAAATACATTTAACCTATGTGTTTTGTTAGCTTTTACTTTTAAAATCACTTGAAGGTTCTCACCTTTAATTGTTCCGCAGCTATTTGTTTCT